TTTTATATTGTGTTTATGTTTTTCAAATAGATCAAAATAATATTGTTTCTTTCGCATTCTAATTGTGGATGTTAATTTATTTCGGTATATTGTGTACTTTACTTTATTATTGTCTGTTGGGGTTTTCTTATATTTTCTGTATAATTTGTCTTTAGTGGAGATTGATAAAGCTATACCTTCAGTTATCCATGGCGATTTTATTCGGTCTGCCCTAATCTTCACTTTTATTAATGGGAAACACCTGTCGATTGTCGCAGTTAAAGTATCAAGTTTATCATCCACCCTTACTTTTCTACAGATCTACAACCCTGCTGGATACCTATTTTATTATGTTTATATATTATTCTTTATATCATTATTTTCTACCATTTTTATAGGCCAGGGGGCCTACCATACCTCCTACAGAAGAAGCTTTCTTCAATGAACTCTTCAATTCAGAAATGTCTCAAGAGGCGAGCAAGGAGTTTGAGAATGCATTACAAGATTTTATGAAGGACATGGGTGGGGTCATGGGCGGGGCTAATGAGGGTAATCCAGCAATGCCAGACTTTTCAAAGATGTTTGGAGCACAGAGTTTTCAGGCCCCTGCATCAGGAACAGATCAGTCAGGGTCAGCTGGTGATTCAGCATCTTTACCAAGAAATCCTGCAGATTTGTCACAGACTTTAGGAGAAACTTTTCAAAGACTATCACAAACAGCTCAAGAGTTACAGGTAAAGTGATAAAAAGCATCTCTATACTTCCTTGACATCATTTTCATAAGACTCATTTATTTAAGAGGTTACCAGAATATCAGCCAGCCAACCTTCTATGATAAGCTGGAAGTGTCACTCTAAAGATATGGGTTAAAAAAAATGTATTTACTATTGTATTAAAAATTGTTTCCCTGAATGAACTTACAGAAGGGTGGGAGACACCACTCAGTCCACACAAGGAAAGCATAGGCTTAAGCTCTGTCAACACTATCAAATTTTCTTTGACAAAAAACCTCCTGTATGCCCATATATAGTCATGATATGCCTATATATGGTCATGATGTGACTACTGTATATATAGTCATGATGTGCCTATATATGGTCATGATGTGACTATATATGGTCATGATGTGCCTATATATGGTCATGATGTGCCTATATAAGATCATATTTAAGCATGTCACATGTTTTTGAAATTTGATAGTTTAGACAAAGCTTCAGCTATTGTCTCCTGTTTTATGGTCATGGTAGGCAGTCCACTGTGGTAGTCGTAAGTCCCTAGTACAGATTTCATTGCTGATGTATGTACCATGTACATTTACATTTTTGTCAGCCACAGAGGGAAGAATGCACTTTACAGCACACAAATGGAGGAACATACAATTTAAATTTTCACAAAGAAAAAGGAAGTGTGGGTGATACCGTTCAGTCCACGCAAGAGATGTAATATACAATTCAGCAGTGTTCGAAATAAGGCTTGTCCCAGCCAACCAAAATGTCCCATGGACAACCAGAACTATAGGGCAACTTGTCCGTTTGACAACCAAAAAATTTTGGACCCAAACCTCACCTCAAGTAATCGTTTTTTGCCTCCCGAACTTTACTGCGTTGTTGTCACTTGCGCAGCCATTTTGGATTCGCCGAATCACATGTTTTCTCACGTTTTGGTCTGAGACTTGAACTGAGGCGTCCTCTCGTGTGTTACTTATTCTATGGGCGGGCCGCACAACAAGGCACTGACTCGCGTATCAAGGCGAATGGAGGCACGCGTGGGAAGGCGTTTCATCGAGCTTTTCTTCATGTCGAACGATCTTAGGAGGGAAAATAGTGCAAGATAAAAATGAAGCAAGCAACAGATAATATACTGACAAGTAAAAAAATTTGCGGACAACCAAAGTTTCCATCTAGGTTGTCCGCCGGACAACTTTAAGTTTTTCCTTATTTCGAACACTGTTCAGCTCAAAAAAATAGAGGGAGATATCATTCCGCCCACACAAGAGGAGAAGATACAATTGAACTAATAAAATCAGATATTATTTCGTTATTACCTAGTTATATCCTGCTTTCAAATAGTTGTTTATTGTCCCAGCTATTTAAAAATGTACATGGATTGCAGATGGCTTAACTTTACATTGTGTAAACCTAGCCCCAGGGAGGATATATTCTTATTGCATTATAATGTGATATCTATATTATTTCATCGTCATTCGTCATGTCTCATTTTGTTACATACTGTAATCATCTTTCTCATTATGCGCAAATTATTTTGAAATCAATTTATCAAAATGTTTATTATTACTTGCCCTAAATATTTTACAATCTCACTGTGCTCCACTTGGTATAAACACTAACTGTATCTATATAATTAAAAAATCAATTTACTGATTAGCTCTAATATATTTATAAAGAGAATTTGATGTTAAATCCTGTTTCTTGCTATAAAAATAAGTATCATGTCCTTGGTTCCACCATCTTAAAGCACTAAGCAAGTATATTTCAAGTATATTTGTATGCCCATGTATAGTCATGATATGCCTATATATGGTCATGATGTGATGTCATCATGACCATTATTTAGGCACATCACATTAAAATATATATTTTTCTCCTTCATTATAGGGAGATGCATTTTCAGAGGAAGAAATGCTACGTTCCATGGGAAGTCTTAACCTGGGGGGTGATGGTCCTGGTGAGGGTGGGGTAGAATCAATGTTCTTCCCCATGATGCAAGAGATGATGCAGGGTCTCCTATCAAAAGAGGTGCTTTACCCATCTTTAAAAGAAATTGTTAGCAAGGTATGTAATTGAACAGTTACTTAATATTGTCAGTTTTTTTTTACGTGTTATTATGTTTCTGCTGTTTATATTTTATTATGGCTTGTGTTTATAATTGATAATTAATTAAATAAAAATCATTGAAAAATAAATGATATGCATTTTTTATAGTCAATATTATATTATGTTATTATCATTTATCTTTAATTATTATTATCATAATCTCATTAAGCACTCATTGATTAATACCAGTGTCATAGTACCAATAAAACATTGCATTCTGCCGTGGATATTGGGTCTGTACATATTCATGTTGATTAATTTACACTTAATATTATTATTGCAGTATCCAGAATGGTTGGAGAATAACAAGTCATCATTAGAAGTATCCGAATTTAACCGTTACAGCAACCAGCATCAACTCATGGATCAGCTCTGTGTCATCTATGAAAGTGAGCAGTCAACTGATGGACAAGAGGTGAAACAGCAGAGGTTTCTCAAGGTCATTGAACTTGTACAAAAGGTCAGATACTTACACCACATACAGTATCATATGTAGGTTCTGCGCTTCCATCACTAACAGTAATAATATTAATATGATAATACAGATGATATAACAATTATATAATTATTACTTGAGGGTTACTCTGGTTATTTTAATCAAAGGGCAATGAACGTTACTTTTTCAGTTAAGAAAGTATTAGTTCAATCATGGTTCAATCTGTCTACTTTAGTTTGTTGAATTTGTCTTTTAATCTTTGTTATCTTGTGTATGCTTTTTCAATTCTTGATTTGTTATGATAGAGAGCTTGATTGTCGGCATTGCTGAAAGAGCCCCTCATATCAATTCAGTCAAATAACACTAATGAAAATGAAATAATCTTTTTTAAAATAGTACTCTATGAACAGCATTTGAGCAATTGATTATGATGGTAATGATGATGATAATGATGGTGATGATGATGATAATGATGGTGATGATGATGATAATGATGGTGATGATGATGATAATGATGTTGATGATGATGATAATGATGGTGATGATGATGGTAATGATGATGATGATGATGATGATGATGATGAGGGTGATCATGATGATAATGATGGTCATGATGATGATAATGATGGTGATCATGATGATAATGATGGTGATCATGATGATAATGATGGTGATCATGATGATAATGATGGTGATCATGATGATAATGATGGTGATCATGATGATAAGGATGACAACTATAAATTGACGTATCGAAGTTTTCTATTTATTGTCTTGACCAAGAGCTATTTATTTAAGTTTTCTGTTGTTTTTCATTATTGTTTGTGATTGTGATCATGTTTGGTTTGTTTGTTCTTGTAGATGGAGGCTCTTGGGCAACCACCAAAAGAATTAGCTGGTGATATGGTAAGAAAAATAATTTTTAAAATAAACAAATTTAATTCAGCTTAGTTGAACAAAAAAAAATTATTTATATGTTGACAAAATCACTACTTACAAGTTGTGTGGAAAATTATTAGAGTATTTATTCACATGTATATAGCATTCTTGTATATTTGTATTATATAATGCTATATAATAACTGTATAACTAAATTTAAATTTAAGCATTCCTACCCGTAATCTGGACTGTGAATCTTGATTCCTAATCCTGGTACAAACCTAGAATTTTCACAAAAAGCACCAGACTACGATTGCTTAAACAACCAGGTCCTATTTACACTTAGGAGCTGACCTTTGACTTTGCCCAAGATTAATCCAGAAGGTGGCAAAAGAGGCGCTAGTCTGTTCAGCAGCAGCCTGAAAATCACTAAGCAAGTATGAAATCAGAATAAAATGGCTCCAAAGCTTCCAGGGAGTACTGTGAGGGAACACCCCAAAATCTTACGCTTACATTCTGCTCCACTTTAGACCTTAGATCCTCAATTGCCAGTTAGGCAACCTCGGCAAGAATGTTCTGGATCCGCATTATGGACTAAATGATGAAATTTGACAAAGCTTATTAGCTCATACAGTTCTAAAAATGAATACATTACCTTGAATTAAAGTGTAATGTTGCATTTTAAAACAACTTAAGTTATCGCTGGCATCAGCGAATTGTAAATTTTCTGTTGTATCCTGGCAAGAATGAGTTCATAGGTCATTTCACAGGATGGGTACTTATTTGCCAAGTGTATCGACTGGCCATAGTCATCGCCGTGCTAAACTTTGACACTACAGACATTATCAGAAGTCAACAATCATGGATACATTATTGAACCCCAGTTTTTACTCTGAAGATCAGAGGAGTCAGTTACTGTTACAAGTTTCAGCCACTGCATAAGCATAAGTTTGTAGGATATTACAATCTCAATGTGAAAGTGGCTTTAACGAATCTCTAATACTAAAGCTGTGTTCCCACTGACAAAAACATATCACATGCCTAAATATGGTCATGATGACATCACATCATGACCATATATAGCCACATAATGACTATATATGGGCATAAAATTGGTTGTTTTTGTCAAAGAAACTTTGATAGTCTGGACAGAGCATTTGACTATAAATACTGCAACCAAATTTATTCTAGACCTCCTGTGTTTGAGGATTGTGTATCAAGGAGTTTAATACACAGTTTTGTTTATCAATAATTCTAACAATTACCTTTCTCTCCTCAGCCGTTGGGATTAGATCTTAATGAAACAGGTTTACCAAACATACCAGGAATGCCTTCTGGGGATCAGTGTGTCGTCATGTGACTTTGTGGGAACGTCAAATGGCTGAATTACAAGCAATCACTTAGATTAGGTGGAAGCAGAAACTATGGGGGCTGTCAGCTACCTGCGATCAATGCTGAGATTAATGCTGAGACACATCCAAGCCACCATAAAATCAGTATGATGATCAAAATTTATCCTGAGTTGGATATGATATGATTGGTTTAAAATGATCATATTATATAATTAAATGATTTCACTGGTAAAAGTATGATCATATGATAATGCATGTTAATTTCATTTGTAATATGATTTTTTTTTTTTTGTTAAAAGGGATCTTGTAAATGATGTTATGATAATGTATAATTTAATTTGTTAATTATGATAATAATTATAATTCATTAAAGATGTTCATATAGTGTTATCAAATGATGTGATTGGTAAAATAGAATCATATGATAATCCATGATTTGTTAAAAATATTGCAATATACTCATTAATTTTAATATTTCAATATTTTTGATATAATGATAATCATATTATTTTTTATGTTATCAGCTACAGTGTATCACTGTATATCAGAAATTATTTATAACTATTGGGGTTTTTCCTAATAATAATAAAATTAACATTTTTATTTTCTAAGACATGTAGACTAAAGTAAGTTGAAATTTGAATAACTGTTTGTATTAAAGTAAATTAAAATTTCACCCTATCTACAAACTAGATGAAATTTTTCAAACATGGTTTTGAAATGTAATTATTTGCACAGTTTTATATTCATGGAGGTTCCACTCTTGAAAAAGGTCTTTTATTATTTGTGGTTCTTGTAGTCATAGTGACAATATCACAGTTTAAATTGAAATTGATTGGTCAGTTTGATATGGAACGTGATTGGTCAGTTTGGCGCAATCAGTTTCCAATACAGTGAGTTATTGTGCAACACTGTCTCATATTTTGTTAATTTTAAATATTAATGACATGTGAAATAATAAATTATATGATACAGATATTTAAGAAAGATCCATGCTATTTTTGGTTTGTTTTTTTTTTTGTCTCACTACTCAATAGAGTCCCTTTTTTCTCATTTTCCCATGGAAACGTAAACCTGGCACATACTTTTCTCATTATATCTTTCATATTTTTCTCTCGCGACTTTCGTAATCGTCTTTAGGCCCTATAACCTATTTGCCTTATTTCTCTTAAGTTATCATTTTACGTGTTTTCTCAAAGATTTCTCATGTTTCTCCACTTCCCATACACTGTGTCTACACATTTGTTTCTCTGTGTATTTCACTTGTGTCCTTGGGCAATGCACTTTAACAGGAGTGTCTCTCCATGTATATCTGGTAGGATGGTATGGTATGGCATTGGATGTACTAGTCCATTTGCAATAAATTGCAGCATCACTTTGTGTACTCCCCGGGAGTGGAGAAGGTTGCACGTTGTGCCAATTGTCCATTATGTAGATCCATTCGAAATACGCAATAATAACAATGCCAACGCCTTGCATCTCTTACCTTAAAATGTAGTATATAATTGCTATATTATTTTTATTATTATTTAATAATTGTCCTTTAATGCGATATTAATCTTAGTTTATGGCATATTTAATTGCATTTTATATTCATGATTTTCAGACATGACAGATATTTTCCAACAGAATAATTAGTCTTGGCAGCACTTGTTAGAATGCCATCCATATCTGCGGGCAATGTATACAAAGTTTTATTGTTGACACACTAGTTTCCAGTTAATGGAATTAAAATTCACGATTTAATTTTTTCCTGAAGGTGGTCAATCTGTTGTAGTAGGAGAATAAATGAATATAACATTATTCAGTTTATGGCGCAGTAAAAAGTGATACTATTGGTTTCCAAATGTTGAGTCAACTTTCAACACAGTGCTGTGGTAATATACAGTACTGGGTATGTACATATTAATGACATGGATTTATGGCCATTGTAATGCAAATGATTATTATTATTATTATTATTATTATTATTATTAATTTTAATGTGATGGATTTATCAACATAAAAACCAAGAACAATGACCTTACGCAAGATTACATCCTAATGATGATGATTTATCCTGGCTGTCATCGTCGTCGTCTTCGTTGTCGTTGATGATTAAGACAATGTTGTTGATGATAATGAGAATAATAACGAGAATGGTGATGAGAATGATCAGATGAATGATGACGATAATTATAAAAATCAAATATCAAAAACTAATAATTAAATGTATAATACTTGATCACTTTGAATTCAAAATCGACCATTTGCCTAGCATATAAAATTAGCTTCATAATTTAGGTAGTGTCAACCTAATTGCGCATGCCTACTACACGCAGTTGTAGGCAAATGAAGGAGCGTACTTTAACGACCACATACCTCGAAATAGCACTTAGTTGAAAAGTTAACCCAGTCTGAAAAGAGCCTATTAGTCAAATTTAAAAATGCAGACGGATTCAATCTTGAAAGACATTACGGATATTGATCTACATATAACGAGTAGTAAGCATTCGTAATTGTGAATTATTTTACATTACCAAGCGAGTTCTTCGTAGATCAAGAGCATTATTAATAATGGCAGTGCTAATGTTACTGTCACTTACCGCACACTCTTGCCAGATCGTCTCATTTTTCCAATGTCAGTGCATCGACCACTTATACCATCATGACTATCTATATCATGATTGTTGTTGATTTGCTGCTTTTGTTGCCGTTGTTTTCATTATCAAAATTATTATTATTATTATTATTATTATTATTATTATTATTATTATTATTATTATTATTATTATTATTATTATTATGCGATATCTCCAGTTCTTGATATTCTACTGGGTCTTTTGAGCTGGGGTTTTTATTATTATTATTATTATTGTTATTGTTATTGTTATTGTTGTTGTTGTTGTTGTTATTTTATTATTATTATTTATATTATTATTATTATTATTATTATTATTATTATTATTATATTGTAATTACTTCATGTTCAATTCAGATAATTAGTCTTGACAAGAAGCCATAGAAATAATTATATTTATTGTTACCAATGTGTTATTCTTCGAAATTACCAAAAGTAATTATTCGATTACAAAAACAAGAGTTGATGAGTAAACGATTGATTCTTCCGTTGATCAGCCGAAGTATTGCCGATGTTTAGCATCCGAAATTAATACACTTAAATGAGAGTTATTGCTTAGCAAGATCGTTTGATATTTGTCTGAATAGATTCCATTTTATTGATCCAGTTAAAGTGTACGAATGAAAGATGTATTCTCATTTAATTCATGTTCAGTGATCTTTTTTGTTACGTGATACCAATACAAACCATCGAAGCTCAACCGATCAGACCCGAATGTTTTTGCTGCTGAAATACTAAACAGAAATTGTAATTGTGATGCGCCAAAACGATTCTGTTTTGGAGTCCAGTAGCGTGGTTAATACAATAACAATTTTATGGAACAATGGGAAGCGCTATGAAAATATTAGATGACGTGAAGCTAGTATCAGCTGAACAAGGTTGAAGCAACAAGTATTGTTTTTTGATAGTGTGTAGTATTTTTTTTTGTTATGATTATGAATAATGACGGACGTGCAGGAATGATGGACAAATTACCTGAATTATAATTCTTAAAATATCACCGTTTCTATACAATTTCTTAATCAAATATCACCGTTTCTATAACAATTCGTGTATTTCCTTTTGAATGATTATCATTTCCTTAATTACCATGACCTAATTTCATGGTTTGAGTTTCAATAATTAACAGTAATGCCGGCCTATTTCCCTTGACAATGGTTGAAATACAAAAAAAAATCATAGTTTATAGCAAGCGAAGTGAAAATATTCCAATTTTGTAGTTCCCAAACGGAACGTTGTTGTCGATGCTATACTCAAACCAAACTAATTTGACGACAGCTTTATGGTGGATAAAAAGAATAATAATATATATTATATATATAAATGTATACGGTATGTATATTTACAAATAAGCCTATATAAACTCTTAAAGTATTTTATCGTCATGTTAATGTCTCTTTGTTTTCCTCCACCGAAGAAATAGAATCTCCAAAATGTTTTTTTTTTTCGTTTTTTTTTTCTTTGATAGGATTATTGAAAAATGATGGTAGAAAAGCTACCGACAGTGTGAAAGATATAGAGGTCTGACAAACATCTCCAAGACGAAGCTCTTATACATGTTATCAATCATCGGTGCAGTTTTGTTTCGGTCTGTTCTTATAGATTAAAGTAGCTGTTGCTATAGCGAGAGTATTGATTATTTAAAATGGTAGGCCTATGTCTGCCATGTTGTTCCTCGCTAAATTTGTATTAGTGACATGCGCATAAAGTCATTGTTGAACATACTTAGAAGGTTTGATTGGATGATCGGTTGATCAATCATCTAAATTGAGAAAGAATCAAACATTGTACGTCGGTGATTACTTGTAACGCGTCATTTGACTGAGCGCGTACTGATCAGATCACCAGAGTGTTTGTCGTCTGCAATCAATACATTAACATGCAGGATGTTCGCCGAGGCTTTCTGCAATCAATAGCATATGCGCAGTAGCATTAGTAGATAATCTATAAGCCGTGAAGGAAAATCTAGAAAATATCTTAGTAGAGAGTTACAAACGACAACATGTGTAAGTCTGTGTTCTGAAGCGTGTCAGATGTTGCCAAACTAATGACGCAACAATTTGTCGACATTTTGAAATATGAGTAGTTTTATATTATTATCGATGTTCTTGTCGGTACTGGCGAACGGCGATATAGTTGAGGGTGAGGAGAGGTCAACTGTTGGGAAACTAGCCATCGAAGCAAGTAGGCCTATATCAACCCTACAAACAGAATTACTTTTGAAGTCATCAAGTACACCTCTGTCGCCTACTCCAACCTCGAAAAGATTTTCTCATTCGTCGTCGACCAGTTCAGCACATGAATCGGAACCAGTGACAGTTATACCAAAGAGCTTTTTTGAAATATTAGGACTGAATTCGAACTTAACAAGTATGTTAAGCAAGACCTCCATCCATACTCTGCAAGTACAACCATTAACTTCTATTTTACCAACTTCTCATTGTCTAGATGATCTTAACAAATCATATGAGGTTTCCGGGACAGAGCCTTTGATAATGCCATCTTCCACCCACGTGGTTACGTTCGACACATACAGTAGGTCTAATGTCCGAAGCCACGATTCCATCCATGCCACTAGTACTGAGCTTTTTGTATTACATACTGGTTATTTGACAGTAACACAAAATTTACTGACGGGAGAGGACTGGAGAACTGCAGAGAATTCCGTAAGAAGTATAAAAAGCACTCCCGGCTTACCGTTCATTCCACTCACACAAAGTATGTATGACTTAGGCCGGACTAGTTCAACTTATATGCAAACGGCAAACGTTCAGACAACTTCAAATTTTGACATAAAAAGTGGTGTTGATTTACATTTCTCATCAAACATTTATTTATCGGGTCACAGTTTGATACATTCAAGTATCAATTTAACGCAGGCGACTCGCAGTTTCACGCATTCAGGTAGTGATTTGACGCAGTCAAGTCACAATCTGACGAATTCAAATCATTCCTTAGCTTCTACACAAAGTTCTTCAACAGCCAATGAAGAGTTGTATTCTGTCAAAGACCCGCCAAATGTAGTTGAATCAAATAAAAAAGGTAGGCCAATATCAATAAATATATTATATGTTCAATGCACCATTTGGTATATTTAGGCATAATGTCAAACAACTGTTCCATGCAAATTCCCCTATTTGTATTTTATACAGGAGTCCTACAGATGAATAAAGAACTTTCATCTTACCAAATACCCACCAAATAAATTACTACATATTTCCTCGATCCAAATAGTTACAAAAAGTTAGTTGATACTGTGTCACAGCACATTCTTAAAAGCTCCAAGCTTTATCTGAAATGGAATACCTTGCTGTATTAATCTTTGTCTTTTCTTTTGTAATCATCTTATTGTAACTGGTAATTGTAAGTGTATGGATATATTTCCGAAATAAAAAGAGAATGAATGAATAAGGAATGAATAAGCCAATGTTATTCAAACGACTAGAGTAATATATTTTCACATATTTATGTATTTATTATTACTTATGGAGGTATGGGAAGTATGTCCTCGACAGACCAATTGCATAACCGACACTCTAAGTGGCTTTCCCCATTCAGATGCGGATGCATTATAAACATCAGCCGGTAACCACCGTCTCTTTGCTAAACTGTTCTTTTAGACCCAGAGTTCCGTGGTTCAATTCAATCGCCGAACTTTTTGCGTTTCAGCTGGAGGAAAGGCCGACGTCGGTGCAGCAGTGTATAAAATATGCAAAAAAAATATTGCTATAGGCCTATGCGTGTACCGGTATATTATAATGATATATTATTGGTATAACAGTTGTAAATACGATGCTGAGACCAGAATTCATTATATTTTATATTTATTTAATGAGTGTTAGCATAAAAATCGATTTTATTAAATCGTTATTGCACATGCGTGATATGTATATTCACTTCTTACAATACATATTGGATTGAATAGCCAAAATACCTTTCGTATTGTATTCATCAACAAATCATTTCATCTCCTGTATCCGTCGTTTAATAACTGAATAACAGTATGCACTGTTTCATCTTCTATGAATGTCCAAGATCGTTTCGTTGTTTTGATTTTTCACCCTCCATCAATTTGTTTCCCCGACGCAGTTGTTGGTCTGTCTCTTATACACATCTAGATGTGTATAAGAGACAGATTTTGTATTTAACCCCCTATTTTTTAAACAATTTTTTACATAGGCCCCTATATATAAAAAAATTATATGTGTATTTATTTATTTTACTTTACCTTACCTTGGGTTTCTACTGTTAAACGTAGCTCATATGTGAGTAGTGATAAGGCAGTACAGGTATTTTTTGTTTTGATAGTTTCTAGGGTCTTTGACTTATCGGTATATGCAGAATCTCAGTCCTGTTATGGTTACTGGTAGAATATGTAGGAGTTGAACCCATGCCTGTCGGTTTGAAAAGCGCGCACATACCATAAAATTCACAACGGTACGGTACGTAATTGCACTTATAAATCGGATGTATTGATAATGCTGTAGAAGATTCAAATGATGATGATTTTTTTTTGCTCTTTCGCAGTCGTCGCAACACGATGATGCAATGATTAATAATCTCAATATGTGCGCCATTCAATCCTATAATAAACCTTTTCTTAATAGTTTTAGATCTGTCATCCAACTGTACTTGCAATAATTCCGTTGTTAATCTTAATCCTGGCACGTAAGTATATAGGGCAACAATATAATGTAATTATAACCAGTGCCACCGAGAAAGAGGCGGGAGGAATTATTCCCGGGCCCTGGCTTACCAATGGGCCCATAGAAATTACGTAGCATTTTTTTTTTCAATATTTTTTTTCAAAAGTAATATTTACTATCATGGGCCCTCAATAATGGCATGGGTCCCCTAATACTGGCCCCTCCAGATTGACAGCCCCCCCCCCACCTTCGGCACAATCTTTCTCGCGCTCGTAGCTGGAGACCCACACCAACCCTTTCCCCTGTTACAGTTTCCCATCTTGGCGGCCCTGAATTATACTCTTCATTATGTGCACGTTCATTGATCGTGATAATAATAATATTTACCTTTCACTTTTGTATATCAGTGGTACGCCTGCCCGCGGCTAAGTTACATTAAGATAGGCCTACATTGCAATACAGAGATAACATTATAAAACAAATACGGTACAATACATTAAAACAGTAAGTTCTAAAAACATTAAAATAAGTAAAATAAAAGAGAAATATTAAACATAAACTTTAAAATGTACAGGTACGTTCAATGTTGGAAAAAAAATCACAGCGACGCTTAGGGTTTTGAGGCTTTAATATACGGTAGTGATTATTCAATATGCGGCGCTTGACACAGAGGTCTGTCTTGTTGCAACATTAGTAGGGCCTACCTATTATATTCATGAATTTGAATAATTATGAAGCATCAAATCATGTTGGGTTTTGTAAAGCTCCGCTCGTTTATACAAATTAGCCCTACGCCACGACAATTATTCAAGAAGGCTCTTCAAAAGCAGAAGAAGGCTTTTTATTCGAGAAGGCTCTTACTCGATTTGTACGAGATGCGATTAATTCATCAGTCCTACTGTTTTTCGGGTGTTTTTAGAAGGCCAGTGCCTATTTACTGTGATCGTCAGAATATACTGTTGCTACCGCTGTTGTTGTATACTACTCCGGTAAGATTAAGTTACTGTTGCATGCTAATAGAGAACCACATATTAATACATAGAGTAATCTCTAATCAATTAAACTTGTTAATGTATTATCAATACTATTATATAATAATTTGAATAATCACATTTGCGCAATCGATTGGGCTCAAAATTAATTTCTTTTCTGATTTAATGACTTATTTTGTACGTCGTCTAAAAGCACCTCTAAATTTGCATTTTTCATTCCGTGTTCCAATTTTCAACCGTCCTTTCCTCTTTCAAGGACGTTGTATCGACCGGCATACGAGATGTATAAACACAAGAGTATATCAGGCAATCGGTATGAGCACGTGAATGTACTCGGCGTGAATTTGACAATTTTAAACTAAGTGTGTCTTTGCCTAGCGTTAAAGGTAATTGAAAAAATTGAATAACTGGAGCCGGAGGATTTCGAACGAAATTATTCAGTCTGGTCTAGAAACGCCAAATTACCACAACTTAAAAAAGCCACCTGGAAATCAGATAAGGAGTCAGTATTTCAGTATTTATTGACACTCACTTTCAGATCAGTGGCACACATCTAGCAAGGTGGTGCGTCCATAAGATATACATAAAATTAACAAAATGTAATACGATCTTAAAATTATAGAGAAAATGATTAAAATAAACAAATTTAATTACGGAGTTAGAGTACAATAATAAAAAAATAAAAAAGAAAAACATATATAAATATATAATAATAAGCTTAACGTTGAATATAAAAAATGTTTACAGTATCTAATAATAATATATGCAGTGTTATGGGACAGAGTTGTAATGATACAGTTTGAGTATTGTATACATTTTATAGGTTTACAGAAAGAAAGATACTGTACATGATAAAATGAATCAAAACAGCCTCCCCACCACCACCCCTAATTTTTTTACTTAACTAATATTATTGCAGAAATAATAATAATAATAAAATATTATTACAGAAAGAAGGTAAAATCAAGTAATACAAATTAACACATACGCCCCAATAAAACAAAGAACCGGTAATTAACTAATATCACAAGAAAGTGAAATAATCAAAACCTAGTTCGCAACAGTAAAATTTACTTAACCAAAATCACAAAAAGAATGTAAATCACAAAATACAAATCAAATCAAAGACTCTAAATCAAGGGAAGGCACAACGCCGTTCAAGAGACCTCATTGGCAAAGTTCTCATGAAAATAATGTCATGAGATATATATGCTGGCCCCTCGAACTCCAGGTCTGCAAAATTGTATAAGCAGAAGCAGGGCCGGTCGTTAATACCATCTGAGGTCGGCAGTTCGAATATCACGCGCTGTCCATTTTTTTTTTTTTTTTTTTGACAGGCATGTGGTGTGTTTACATTGTTAACATGCATTGAAGATTGGATGCGTGCGTACACTATCAGATACCGCAAGAACACCTGGGCTGCTACGCTAAAGATACGAATGCAACAATAACGATATTTTTTCTTCGTAGTTTTTGATTAGTCAAATTTCCGACGCAGTTGTTGGTTATTGTTTGACATCGGGCACTCCTAAATTGAATATAAACTCAGTATAAAGTACTAAGACACGGGAATTGGTAACCATAGTGTATTTACTTGTCATTTTGGAAGTGTGGAAATAGTGATGCTTAGTTTTAGCCCATTTTAAGAAGACAAAACGCTACTTGGATCACACAATGTCTTTTCACAATAATTTCCATGCGTGTCGAGTTTCTGGATGCATTGTACGTTGTATCATTTCTAATAAAACTTAATTACGTCAATTTCACTGCTCGCTATTATGATATCATTATTATTAATAATAGTAATAATAATAACAATGATTCAGGGGCGGATCGTAGGTTCAAATTTAGGAGGGAGGTCAAAATGTTTCCAAAAAACCCCAAAAAGAAAGAAGGATCTGGCCGGGGCCGGGTCTTCCCCCGGAAAAAATGTTGATTCCTAGATGGAGGGAAATGAGTTTTGCTGACTCCTGAAGTGTCTTTTAATGACTTAAGTTCTTCAAAATTCAAGGTTTACTCCTCTTGGAAAGGGTCAGGTAATTTTTTTTCTCATTCTTATTACAGTAAACAGGCCTATTATGTGTGTTCCGGTAAACATACAGAAAAAAAAATTGAGTATATACTGCATACGTATTATTTTTTCCATGAATCGATGAACCCCCAAAAAGGTGGGTTTGGGGTCCCCCCCCCCCCTGGGAAAATTGCTCCTAGATGGCGGGAAATGAGCTTATCCGACTTCTAATTTTCCCATTGCAACCAAAAAAAAAAAAGAAAAAAAAATCAGCTCACGGGTCCTGATAAGGTACCGATAGGTATAAATTTGTTTTCATAAGTTGTGGGGGGGGGGGGGCCTTAGGACCCCGACCCCTCCAGATCCGCCAGTGGATGATATTAATAATAATCA